CGTTGGCGACGGTGATAAAGTTGTTGCTGGTGCTGATGATAATGATAGCTGATGACGAGGGTGGCTCAGGCTATCAGTGGTACTAACCAGACATTATGCAGTGCCCGGTCCCACGTTCACGCGGCAGATGGCCTGAGAAGGTGGCCCATGAGCGTGGTGAGATAAGCTGGAACGGTAACTTGTAAAATGTGTGTGATTCGTTGCTTTTTCGCAGTAAGCACCTCGCCAAATACTAAAAATAGCATTCATTTAGCAGCTGCACAGAAAAGCTGCATACTCAGCATATTAAAGCCCTTTATGATGAAAACCGCATCGAATTCCGCAGCGAAGCTAACCACTTTATCGATATATCAGGAAATTTGCATGCCCAAAACCAACGCCCCACAGTGGCCTCTAACGTCCATGCGTTGTCTCCTTACGTTCTCCCAACTCAGCCTGCAGTTGTTGGGATCGGGTCAGCATAAAAATGGCGTTTACTATTTGCGATGCAATAACTGAGGGGCCTTGGCTTGAACAATGGAGCTATGGGAGGGCAAATAACTCAAATGCGCGCTTGTTATCACAGTAGCGCATTACTCCATAGCGTTGCGACCAACTGAAGAATGCAAACGTGCCGACATTTCAGCCTTTCAAGCTATGTTGGGGTGAACAGCTGGCATAACTTTCTGCTCGCTCTATGACAAATCAAGCTCGATGACTGCTTTCGTAGGCCCGATGCGGACGGGCGAGAGCTTTGTTATGTACTTGGAGATATGTATGAGCTTTACAGGCTTGCGCAGTCTTTAATACGCGCTCGGGAGGGGGGATCAAATTGAACCCCCTGAAGGTTTTTCCAGAATGGTTTCCGAACGGCGCGGTGTAGCCGCGCCAAATTTTGCATAGCTGGAGACAACTAAATAGCGGATCGCTTGGTGAAAAAATTAGATGTACCTTGTAAGGTCGCTGACCTATGGCAGGTCAAAGCCAGGCCATGGTTTCAGCGAACCCAACTTCTAGGAAATCGCTCAATATGGTGCAACAACGGAGTGTCAGACGAAACCATACATCTCTAAAATGTTTTCTTAGACAACAAAACAATTGAACGAACAAATTCCATTGACCTAAGGTCAGGTATGAAGGTCAGACCAAGGTTAAAATCAGCTTGTTTTATTACTCTAGGCCTTGCTGTATGGGACAGATTCTGGTGCTCATTTCTAATTCATTGATAGCAGGAACCGCATTCTTCATCTTCCATGGACTTCTTATAGGTCAGAATAGGTCACTGACCTAAAATGACCCTGGTCAACATTTGTTTTTTAGGAGCATACTGCCCAGCGTAATCGTTGTCGCTTATTCAAATGCAAAACTCGGAGCAGTCTTGTATGATTTTGGTCACTATGATCTTCAAAAGGTCAAAGTCACTGACCTGAAATGAGCATGTGACCTTTTGCTTAGAAAGAGGTATCTAGGCTCTGGGGGCACTTTGGAGACCAACCTGGAATTTGACATTGTTTGACCTTATTTAACCTGAAGGTCATGACCTAGAAACCTTAAACTTTGACCTGAGTGAGCTAACGTACAGACCAACATACCCTGTGAATTTGGTGTCTCTAGCTCCCACAGTTCTCGAGATTTCAGGGGGGTCAAATTGACCCCCACCCGAGCGAAGGGTATCCAGCCGGCCACCCGGGCGCGTGTTAAAATACCGTAGTAAGGGATAAAGCGTACGAACGCAATAAATGCGAGCACTTCTTTTGAGCAAGTAACCTGAAACATTTGAGTGCCTATCATATGCTTGTATAATACGATGATCATTGCATGTTTGCATACCAATGTATGATCCATTCGATTTACACATTTTCGAAGCCGGGGTGGCATGTTTACCGCGAGATGAGACACAGTATCTGCCGAAATGCGACGCCATGCGCTCTTGAGGCGTGAGTTGAGCTGACCTAATTGACCAGCTGGCTATTGTTTATCAAGGCGATTTTGCATAATTAAACGCAGATTTTCTAAGGACTTCAGGTCTGTAGTGTTGCCTGGTCACACACATTGTCCCAAAAGCCGAGAAAATGGAGCGCGCACCTCTTCTGGCTCTGTCTAGACACTGAGGAGGAGCTCCGGTTTACATAGAAGTTCCCTGCGACCTCACTGTGATCATTTTCCATTTGTGTACGGTGCCCGTTTCTGATGAGCGATAGACTGTTGGCAGTAGGGATCCCTTCAGTATCTCAAACGCATCACGTTATTTCGCCCGTCTGGTTTGTGGGCCCGCTGTGCAGCTCTGTCGCCGCTGGTTTGTGGGCCGGCCGTGCAGCTCTGTCGCCGCCTGATCGGACGTCGCAGCCCACACCACCAGCTGTGCAGGTGTTGTGCTGCTCGGCCTGCTCCACTGTCCCCAACTAAGTTGCTCGAATTCGCCCCAACGCGGCCCTGTTCGTGACTCGGTGGGTGTTTGTCTTCGAACATCCAATCATCGCTTCCAAAGCACGTGCCAGAAGTCATCGACAGCTCAGCTTCAAATATCTACGCTAAAGTTCAGTGCTGATTGCCTATGTTTTTCCGCCATTGTTCGCGGATCTGACCTTTTGATCGAGTTCAAATAAAGATAAGGTTGCATACTTGGCTGGAACACTGGGCACCCTTTTCCAGATATTTTTGTTACCACTTTACGCCCGCTCCGGCCACACGACGTGCCCTCGCCCTAGTCACAGACGATCTTGGCCACCCCGCCGATGGCAGCTGACCGGTCGGTGCGCTGTCCGTCAGCCCGTCATTCATCTCTCGAATGTCTCCTCCGCCACATACGCACAGTTTGACCGAACGCTTCAAGCCCTTCTACGACTAATCCCTGGCTTCAACTCCTTCAAGTAATCCAACAACTCAGGCACGAAGAGCTTCTCTGGACGTGACCTTGCGCGCGACCTTCATCTCGGATGAATAAGTACAGGTCACGCAACCATTCCTCTATGTTAACCCGGTTACAGGCCGCGGCTACGGCTGGCATTGGTCCGATTGGCAGCAAACCAAACCGCGTAGTGGCAGACGACAGATTTGTTCCGCGCCACTGCAGTCGGCAGTCAGGGCTAAAATGTCCGCAACTAGGCGTCACAATTCTTTTGGAAAACCGGCGAAACAACAGTGTTTTCTTCCCAGCTGTTTATCTTTTCAACCGTCATAGTTTTGCTAAGTTTTGATCTCAACATGTACCCAATGTCAAGAGAAGGCACTAGGACTGTACTCCAATTTCGGCAACACCTACGCCGATGCGTCACGACCTCGTCAGCCGACGCATTGCAGGGGAAACGTGAAAACATGCCCTCATTCTGCATTTGTTGAGTTAAAAAACGGACTTTTTGAAGGTTTTTCATTCTATAAGAGATACATGATTTTGCCAGGAGCAATCTGGCTAAAAATATGTCCCGCTTAAACAAAATCCCTCACTAATCATCAAACAATGAAACCCTCCAGCATGTGTACGACTAACTCGGACTGAAACTCAGCGCAAAGTCGCGCAGAAAAGCGGCACACACGGCGGCCTCGCCCTGCTCCGGTGCGCTGAGTCGGCTCGGCCCAGCCCAGCGCTGCGGCCGTCACCCTGTTCGCTCGCCGCAGCGCCGGCGACCGCGTCACGTGCCGCGCGCCACCGGCCGTGACCCGGCTGCCGTGACAGTCGGCCGTCACAGCAGGCCAATCCATTGTCGCCGCACGGAAAAATAGCCACCGCTGCGCCCCGCCTCAGCCCCGTCCCGCTCACACCGGGACCCAGGTCACCAGGTCCGTCCCCCCCCCCCCCCCCGATCCGCAATCAGTGGTCAGGTCCGCGTATCGGCGCCCCTGTTGGTCGGAGGAGCCGGCGGCAGCGTCACGACGGACCCCACGACAGATCCTCGGCCGGACCAACGCCACCAACGCCGGGCCAGCAGCTTTGCAACCTATCTCTATCCGCTGTGGATAACGATCGGATCGACCGTGCTCCGCGAATGCCGGCCTTCTGGCAAGCATTACCATTTAGGAACCAACGGCCGCCTGACAACGTGGCTGCATGTCTTCCAAGCGTACAGGGTCCAGCAACAGGCCCTGAACAGCAGCGTACCGAGCCTAGCAACAGGCCCTGCGACAGCGGCGCGCGCACCGCACGGGCAACAGGCCTCCGAGCCGAGGCGCTCCTCGTCAGGCCACGGAGACGGAGGCTGGCCGCGGCAGCCGGCAGGCTCCGTAGCCCCGCCGGCATCCGGCGGCAGCAGCGGGGACTGGCCGCGAGCGGGCTACTCCCGCCGCCTGCCCGTGCCGACAGATGACGTCGGCCAGCACTGACAACACCGCGGGCCGCAGTGACATGCACAGCACGCGTGAGACGTGGCGCGCGCACGCCGACATGCAAGGATAGCAGGCCGGCGCCAACCTTCATCCACTTACGAACACTGCGTGACGTTACGTGACACGTCCATCGTAAATCGTAAGCATCCGCACGCGGCTATATCGTGTGCCGTACCCACCAGACTGACGCTCGGCATCCGGCTTATCACGCGGTTATATCGTGTGCTGTACCCACCAGACTGACGCTCGGCGTCCGGCTAATTGAGTGTGATCCCTTCGCCATCGATAGGTACAACATGCGAGAGGTAAGATGAGGTCAGCAGGAATACAACTTTCCTGTACAGGTGTGGTATCCTGCTCGCATTTAATTTTTAGAGGGACGCCTTCTCCAATGACCCAATGTCCTGTGTTGACACTTTTCGTCCTCCCCACCTGGCCGGTGAGTGGTTTGATAGAGAATGGGGGCAACACGGAATCGCTGTCACCAACCACAGCTCTGTTGTCGACTACGACGGCTATTGTTACTGTCGTGACCAATCCGTGGCTAAAGAACGTATAGGATGTGGCAAGGCTTGAATCCGCGGGTCGCCCTGCCAGAAAAAAAGCTTCGGAGCTCTAATAACAGACATGCGGTCCACCCGACACAAAAGAGACGCCTCACACGAGCACGCCATGCGGAGCTCGGCCGGCGGCCAACCCACTTTTTGTTGTTCCAGCTGAGCGTGCCCTCGAACTTGTTGAGGTTGTTATTGGGCGGCTCGCAGACGATCTCGCCGTCGAACATGCCGAGCAGCGTCTCGTCCTGCCCCAGCTCGACCGTGGCCGTCAGCGCCTGCCGGCACTTGAGGTTCGTCTCCCTGCAAAACGGAGGCGCGGCCGAGCTGTTACAGCCGAACAAACCCGACCATCGCCGGGCGGAGGAGCCGGCCGGCCCGGTATCGATTGGCGGCCGGGTCCCAGGGTCGACCGCGGCCGGCCGACAGAGACGGGGTGTCGCCGCCCGCCACCCGCCGGCCGCCCCCACAAGCCGTTGGGAGGTCTGTTTCGCTGCCGCAGAGCCAGGATTGATGAGGTCAGAACCCCCTCACCCCCCCCCCCCCTCCTCGGAACCTCAGCGAAGCGTTTAGGGGAGGGGAGAGGGCGAAGCCGTGTCAAGGTCTGACCAGTGGTTGAGATTCGGGAGCACGGACTTCAACATAATTGAGAAAAGCGGCGACGAAAAACAGCAACACGCGGAATCCATCAGCTTAATGGTCTGGATAATAGCCCCCTGATGCGATGACTGCTGAAGAAGCGTTGTGGTTATTTTCCGAGATCGATCGCGGGATGAGCCCTTCCTGCTCGATACAAATCGCATACCTGGCCAGTACGCATATCAATCCAGCCAGCGACGGCACGACTAACATTATTCCAAGTTATACGGTTGGAAACATGCATTGATCCAGTGCGCTTCACAGACAATAGGCACGATTCTAAAATGGACACATTATGTGCAGTTATATGCAAGACCTTGGTGAAAGATCCATGCTAACGCCTGGTGGCAACCCCATGCCTCCATCCCCTCCAGCAGTGCTGACGCAGCGGATGCTCTCCAGCAGCTGGCGGTCCGGACCGGAGACAGCCAGAACAGGCCGACACCCGTCCACCAGCCCGTCATCATGACCTTAACTAAGGCCGGCTGGGGCCCGCTGTCGGCCACTGCTGGCTAAACGCGGCGCGACATTTACGATGGCATGACGCATGGCGGACCCCTACCGCAAATACTGACTGTCTGGCTGCCCTACAGCACCAGGTGTATGCACGCCGACGGCGGTGGGCCGCCCACAACAGTGGGTGCGCAGTCCCCCTCCCCTCCCCTCTTGTGTTCGTCTCTTGAATAAGGCCGTGCTCCCCGCCAATCCTGCCTATGCCACGACACCTCGTCATCCACCCACATCCGGCAGGCCAGGTCACGTGGCGAGTCAGCCGGGCGACTGTGAACACGTCACCGGCGCCTCCCCTCCCCTCCTCCCACACCTCACGCGGGCGCGCGCCGAGTCCGCCCCGTCCGGGCCGCGCGCCGCCCGGTACGGCTCCCCGCCCCGCGCCCGCCCCTCACCCGTCCAGCTCGGCCGTCTCGATGTAGCTGAGGCCGTTCGGCTCGGACGTGGAGAGCAGCAGCAGGTCGGCGGCCACGAACTGGTCGTTCTCCATGCGGATGACGTCACCGACCCGGACGTTGGACCACTGCTCGCGCGTCAGCCGGTCGGCGCGCAGCACGTACGCGTGGCGCCGGTTCACCTGGCGGTCGCTCCGGTGGCGTTGCTGTCGAACGGCCGCCGGAGGTCAGACAGGTCACGCCGGTCGAGCCGGGTCAACACCAGCTCACGGCCGGTCGGCGCTTCGTGACTGCTTCCGTCACTCCGCGCCGATCAGGTGGGTCAGGGCTGCGACGGTCAGAGGCGCTCGGCACACCACGCGGCTCGCGGTCACGCTACGGCGTCCGGTCACAGCGGCGTTCGCTCACGTGATCGGTCAAGGTCAGGCTTCGACCTCGACCTCTAGATTTGCTTCGTCCCGTGAAGTGACGAGTCAGGGTCACGGGACGGAAGGTGGTGGGAATGTGTCACGTGGGCGAGAGAAATGGGCTAGCCTCTGTGGCGTGTAACTATGGCGGCGTCAGGGGCTGGTCCGAATGCACTGGACAATGCGTCCCGCATGCTAACAAAGACAGAGGGAGAGGGCTGCTACTGACACTGGCAGCCAGGCGCAGCCGTCCATTGAGTATGGACGACTGACAGAGGCCTCGCCAGCCACCTATCTAGCAGCTGGCCTCGCCACGCAACGTCTGGAAACACCGCACGGGCGCTGACTAAGCAGCGGGTGGATGACGTCTGACCGTAGCCTCCAATACCCGACCACCTATTGATCTTGACACCGTAAACGGTCTTACGTGACACCATGACCAGAGCCTGGCTTTGTGTTTTGTGCAGCAAAGTCTATCTGTCACGTAAGTATATACAAAACCCATCGCACTCTCACGCAAGGTAGCGCCGCATCAGCAGGCAGTCTGAAAACGTTTGCTGCGCCAGTGTGTACGTGCGCAGCTCATGCAAAGGTCGCGCTAAAATGCGGACTGTTCCATTAAGAGGGAGACGGGCGCGCCCACACGCCTTTCATATGCCCCGAATGACCGAGTCGTTAGCACCATGGACTCCCACGCGCTGGGGGCCCGGGTTCAAGTTTTGGTTGCGCCATGGCCTCTGAGCGGTTATAGCACCACAGCAGCCGCAGTCGTTGCAGAAAAGAGGCGTGACGACGCGCATCATTATCTGAAGGAAGTAAAAAAGAAAAGCGTATGGAGCTGATTAGCCTTCGATATGGCAGCACCGCCCCACCCGGATCACAACAGCTGGCCAAGCTGCTGCAGCTTCACCCAGCATGCTTCTCCAAGCGACGGCGAATACCCGACCGATATTTGCTGTCGGGAACAGCTCGCAGTTACTGCGTGTGGCTTAGCTCCCACGAAAGCGGCAGTAATCGGTGATCCGTCGAATCCAGGGAAGCAAGCATCAGCCGATGACAGCAGTCCGCCAAGGGCCAGAGCCTCTGTCGGCAGGTCCGGCCGTGGTCCGACAGGGGCCAGAGCCTCTGTCGGCAGCCCCAGCCGTGGTCCGACAGGGGCCAGAGCCTCTGTCCGCAGCCCCGGCCGTGGTCCGACAGGGGTCAGAGCCTCCGTCGGCAGCCCCGGCCGTGGTCCGACAGGGGCCAGAGCCTCTGTCCGCAGCCCCAGGCGTGGTCCGACGGAGGCCAGAGCCTCCATCGGCAGCCCCGGCCGTGGTCCGACAGGGGCCACAGCCTCTGTCCGCAGCCCCGGCCGTGGTCCGACAGGAGCCAGAGCCTCTGTCCGCAGCCCCGGCCGTGGTCCGACAGGGGCTAGAGCCTCTGTCGGCAGCCCCGGCCGTGGTCCGACAGCGGCCAGAGCCCCAGTCGGCAGCCCCGGCCGTGGTCCGACAGGAGCCAGAGCCTCCGTCGGCAGCCCCGGCTGTGGTCCGATGGGGGCCTCGCGGTCGCGGCAGGGCGCAGAGGCGTCCGTCGGCGACGAAAATACAGCAACGCAGCACGGGCCACTTCGCCCAAACATCGGCAGCCAACGCAAGGGAGGGGAAGGGGGAGGGGGAGGGGATTCATTGAGCGTGCCAGGTCGCGGGGCGCGTCAGAGACGGGTGCGCCATCTGACTGCTATTCCAGCTCACAAACGCCGCGGAGCCCGCCCTCAACGGCCTTCGTATGGAAATTTCACACAACAACGGTTTCAATTTTGGCCAAAAGAGCAATAGTTTTCGGGTCGGGGCGATAAAAACAGGCAGCCGGCCACCAGCGGGACGGGCGGGCGGGCGGGCGGCCGGCGGTGGAGCCGAAGCCAGCACCGCTACCGCTGCCCGGCCGGTTACCACAGCTACCTGTCAACAGTGGGCCAACGGCCGAGCCCCGTCAGCAGCGCATTAATGGCCGGCGTTCTTTGTTTGCCAGCCAGGTGTCGGCGTGCGGACGCACACGACGCCAGCTCAACCTGGATGGCCTGGTCGGGTATGGTTACGTTCTATGGTTTGATACCTTTCGATTCAAAAGATGCCCGAAGAAATCTTTGCTGGGCTATGAAATACCGGGAGCTGGCGCACAGGAAAATAATTCGGTCCCACTCAATACAACCCTGGCTTCAAAAACAACTGGGAAAGCACCATGGAAGTATCATCTCCTAACTGCGTTCGGGTGGCGGAATATTTCAGGTTGACGTATCGGGGCTGATTCCTCAGCTTCAGTCCCAGACGGCAGGCAGCTGTGACGTGACACCGCGATCGTCTTGCAGCGTGCTCGCTTGCAAAGGCTCCCGCCCCCGTCGAAAGACGATTTCATGCGCATGAGCTATATCTCTGGCGCTCAAAGGCGTGTAGCAATGGCGGACGGACTGCCCTTCGACCGACGACCTCAAGCCAAGACAGACACGACCAAACATCAGACAAACAAGACCCAACTCCAGACAGACACGACCCAATATCAGACAAACAAGACCCAACTCCAGACAGACACGACCCAATATCAGACAAACAAGACCCAATTCCGGACAGACACGACCCAATATCAGACAAACCAGATCCAACCCCACGCAGACACGACCCAATATCAGACAAACAAGATCCAGCCCTAGACAGACACGACCCAATAGCAGACAAACAAGATCCAACCCCAGACGGACACGACCCAATATCAGACAAACAAGATCCAGCCCCAGACAGACAAGATCCAGCCTTAGATAGACAAAACCCGATATCAGACAATATCCAATCTCAGACAGACAAGACCTAATCTCAGACAAGCCGCAAAGTCAGACAGACAAGACCCAATGCCAGAAGACAAGACCGACCCCAGATAGACCAAATTCAGCATCAGACAAGGCCCCATCCCTGACAAGACCCAATCTCAAACAAGACCAAGTAGCTTCGTCAATCTATGCACGGTGGGGGATGATTAGGGTGTTAGTACCATGCCGACGCTGACGCCGTCGCACACCCCTTCTGCGTAAGGTAAATCCGGGCTCCCCGAGCGAAAGCCAACGCAGGGCCCAGTCCCAGCAGGAGCCAACCACTCATCCATCGGAGGTATCTGCCTGGCAGGCGGGCAGGTAATCGGACGGCTGCTCAGCAGCCCTGGCGTAATCTCCGGCGTAGCCAGCCAGCCGGGGCGGCGGAGGGGCGGGCAGCTCGCCAGTGCCGCGGGCCGCCGCCTGCCGCCGGACCGACGCTCACCGCTCCAGGCCGATCGCAGAGCGACACGCCGGGGACAGAGCGGCCGCGCGCCCGGTGACGCCCACAGCGGAGCGGCCGCGCGTCCGGTGACGCCCACAGCGGAGCGGCGGCACGCCCGGTGACACCCACAGCGGAGCGGCCGCGCGTCCGGTGACGCCCACAGCGGAGCGGCCGCGCGTCCGGTGACGCCCACAGCGGAGCGGCGGCACGCCCGGTGACGCCCACAGCGGAGCGGCCGCGCGTCCGGTGACGCCCACAGCGGAGCGGCGGCACGCCCGGTGACACCCACAGCGGAGCGGCCGCGCGTCCGGTGACGCCCACAGCGGAGCGGCGGCACGCCCGGTGACACCCACAGCGGAGCGGCCGCGCGCAGGGCGCTGCACGAGTCTACCGACCGTTCGGACTGCTGCTTAGGTGTCTGCGTGTCTCGACATATGTCCGCGTCGAGACACGCAGACACACGTCCGCGTAGAGACACGCAGACGCGGGAACCCCGGCCAGGAGCCAAACACCACGTGTGTGGGCGGACCGGCGGCGGGCGGCGGCGGCGGCTGCAGGAGGGCGGCGGCGGCCCCGGCTGGCGGCTGGGTCGCCGAGAATGACGCCGGAAACGACACTCGGCCCGAGTGGACGCGCTCGATTACCGCCGAGCGGGCGGCCGGTGATGTGTGACGGCCGGACGGGAGACGGCGGGGCGCGGCTCGCAGCGGCTCAGCACCATCTGACGCGACTCGTGCATGGCGGGCCTGAACAAGGGTTCGTGACACACGCCACCTATTCGTCCCACTGTATCTGGTGGCTGCTGCTCGGCGTGGTCTGAATGCAGAGGCACACACAGGGAGCAGCACGTGTGCTAGGCTTCCTTGGGCCGTCCTGTGGCTCGGACAGACCAGTTGACTATCAAGGAGCCCAGAGACCAGTGGGCGCTCTGGCGGCCCCTGACTTTACAAAGACCTCCAAGGCAGCCAGGGGATCCTGATCCTGATCCTGATCCTGGGAGCCCCCCTCCCCGCCCCTCTCGCCGACATCTGGGGTCTCCAAGCAACCGCACAGCCTCAGACGGTCGGAAGCAAAAGAGATAGCAGCGGGCATGAGAACCAAAGCCGCCACTCCTACAGGCCATAGCGTCCCAAAAGGGCCCGAGCGGCCGGGTGCGGCTGACAGGCTGTCACAAAGCAGGCATCGGGGGGGGGGGGGGAGAAAAGTGACCTGGCCACATCACATGACGCCAGCTGTCCCTGGTAACGACAGAAAGTGCCCGTGCGCACGACAGAAACAGCATAGGCGTACGTTGGGCGGAGAGCTCAGTGGCGAAGCCGACAGTGTGCAGCCGACTAGACATGCCGCCATGGAAACAGTGAGGGAACTAGAAAAACGACGGCAGGAGTTGCCCTTGAATTCATTGCCCACGTCACCACTCAGTTTTTCCACACACAAAAACAGTGTGGACAAACAAAAGCTGCAGTGCCCTTGATACAAACAAACAGAGCAACACTGGACTGCAAAGGGCTTGCAATCGAAACGTCCGCTAACATCCTGGTCCCACACGAGCTACTCAGAACTCACGGCATACAGACGACCAGCCATCACGCAGTTAAGACCTAGCGAGGACGCACACAGCGAGACATACGCCAGCTCCTCCTCCAGGCTCGCCAGTACCAGCGACCGATGGCATGTCATTGGGCCGATGGCGTGCCATTGTCACCCGCATGTCTTCCGGTTTGGACACAAACAAAACATACATAGCACAGCCGGATACAGCACGGCGAGCGGGCGGTGCCACGTCGCTCGCCAGCATGCAACCTCCCCACAGCGACAGGCAATGGGGGGCACCTCACGGGACCACGGGGGCGGACAAGAGGATCAGACCGAGCACTGCGGTTTGCATCTCACGCCGGAGTTTACACACACCAGCGCAAGCGTGTCAGGATAAAAAAGTATTTCCATCAAACGGTCATCAGCACATGGAATCCACTGTTGTTTCCTATCACAGCACTGGCACTCTCTGGAGATAGATCAATTTTTAATTTAAAAGGCTCCCCCGACTCGCTAACAACCGATCCGCATTCCACGCTGGTCCTGATTACTCACCGGCGCCACGCTATAATGGGCAGCCCATACCCTGAACCTTCTCTCGTCTAAGCCATTTCGGCAGCTGTCCTCAACGATCGCTTCCGATAGCCGCGTACGTGACCATCCCGGGTGACGGTCCCACCGCACAACAGGTCCGCTCGCAAGTAACGCTCCCCTCTCCCTCCCATATGAACGCCGCACTCGCATCACCATACCACCCGCCATCCATCCACATAGCGCTCCCTCCCAAACTCATTCACAAAGCCATCCTTACCGCGTCCCAACTCCGTTTCTTTCCCGCCCAGCTCAGAGTGATTCCTGCCACACGGGTCGTACATTCATCCCTCCAAGCCCCAGCACACAGTGGTCCGTTGCCGCCCTGGTCACGGGCCGTACATTCATCCCTCCGAGCCCAGCACACAGTGGTCCGTTGCCGTCCTAGTCACCCGTCATCGCTCCATCGCCACACTCACGGACACCCCCCGACCGGTCACAAGGTCATCTGACCCTCGCCACACCCCCTAGGTGGATTGACGGTCAGCAATCACTGAGGCACAGTGACCTAGCGAGTGCCCCTCCCGCAGCGCCGCCCCACCGCGCCCCACTCACAAAGTCATCGTAGGCGTCCTTGATGGCGGTGAGCAGCAGCACGAAGACGAGCGGCACGAGAGTGGTGACAAAGGTCAGCGAGCTGATCACCGGGATCAGCTGCAGCACCAGCAGGCACAAGAAGTAGAAGTTGGCCAGACGCTGGAACTGCTCGAACAGGTTCATCGGCCAGAACGTCAGCAGGGTGTACTTGGATGTCTTGATGAAGTTGTCCTGTCGAGGTCAGACAGCTGGTCAGAGGTCAGAAGGCGACGGTCAGATCCGGCACGAGTGGCAAGCACGCGACCCGAGCACCCGCGCTCCCAGCTGTGCCCGGTAAAAACACCCACAGCCTGGCGAGGCTCGAGCAGCTATCACTGAGGTCTGAAATATACGTGAATATCTTCGTCGCACAGTGACGTCGGCGATTAAGCTTGGTGGCGTTGAGATCGATCACGCTATGCCGCTCATACTACAGTGTGACAGCGCTTTTCCTGAAAAGCATGCAGGCATACAGAGGTAATTACGGACATTTTTCGGGGCGTCTATTGGACACGTTACGACGCCAATCCACCGCTTGTACGTTGCAGGTGCATACGGTTCGCTGGCGCGGGACTACTCCATGTACGCACGAACACAGACGTATTCACACTTCTCCTTTCGCTTCCCATAATGGCACGGACAGGTCATGGAGAGCGCAGCACACCGATACATGGCCGACAGCGTGGACCTATCAGGCCTGGCTAATCCATTTCACGGTAGGTTTAACGAAAGGACAAGGTCAACAAAGCATCGGTTTCCAATCGGGCCCCTGGCAGCCATTTTCAACAAGCGGTGCTGAGCCGGAGTTCAAATATTGGTGGCCTTGCGGCGTTTGCCCACCAGCGACGAGGTAACGACGGCAATATTGGTTCATCGACCGATGGTGACGGTAACGGCAACTTGTGCAGCAGCTTGGAACACTACGCCGACAGCTCGCTCTCCGGCGGCTCCCCGTGCAAAGCACAGTACTGGCAGGCAGGACGCACCGCGATTCAAGCAGGTCCCGCATCATTCTGAAGCCATATAGCGGCAAGAACGGAATCGCAGAAGACATCAGGTCACTGGCAAGAACACAAGACTAGATTCAAGACCTTTGGTAGTTCCAGTCGGTCGGCATCGCACTAACTCTCTCTGACTCACCCGCAAAATGTGAATTAATTTTTGAACACACAGAAGCCGCATGCGTTTGCAGATAACCTAATATGTAACCAGTGCTTACAGGCGTGCAGAAAATGCCACGCGATATGTCCCTCCCATGTCTCAACAGCTGTGGATCCCTTACCGAGCAACTTTATTTCACTGTAAGCGACTTTATTAAACCAAGCGAATATTTAGACTGTCGTCAGCTCCGCCAAAAATTGCTGAGCAGTGACACCAACTAAAATGAAATCAACTCCATCCGCTGTGGAATCTGAATGCGAGCGACCATTCTGAAACTTTAATCAGGCACACATTGTCTGACAGCGCAAAAGCAAACGTGAAGACGGGTGTAGACCACGGTCGCACGCGGACAGTAGCGGCCGCAAACCTTTCGTCAAAGGGCAACACTACGAGGGAAAAACATTTTCGCTGCAATTGGCAGCAGCGTGACTATGACATCCCTCACATGGGCCAGCCGGTGTTGATTCTGACGACGCTTTCGTCTTCAGGGCGAGCCCATGACGCGACGATCGAGGCGTATCAGCACCATCCCCGTTGGCGCAGGAGGCCACTGACCGCGTTACTTTATTCACCTCGCACCATGCATGGATCACAAGTCCGTTCGTCGATATTCAACGAACATATCCGCTGGAGCCAGCACCCGGTCCAGAGCGATTCACAGGCCTTCGATTGCCTTACGACTGTCTGTGATCTGAATGGTCGCCGCTAGCAAGGCTGTGTTTCGCATAACAGGGCATGCGATGTTCTGCCGACCTTTGGTCCGGTGCGTTAGCCACGACACTCAGCCAACACAGATATATGCGTGTCGGCGTAACGCCGCGCCGCCAGCGTCGATTGCCGTTAGATAGCAGCCGCAGGTGGGCAGCGGTGAGAGGGCGGATACCGACGCGGGACGCAGGGAGGAGGCGGCAGAGGGGGACCTCGCAGAGGCGAGAACAGAGCAGCACCGGCACGCGAGCCGGTGCCGGTCGCCCCCACTGAGCAGGCGCACGGGCAGGGGCACGTGAGCGCCATCGCACTTCATCTCTCCAGGGCCGCGGTCCCAATTACTAACAGCTATCCACAAGTTGCAATCTGGGACGTCAGAGGTAATAGCGTCACAACAGCTCCTACGGTTTGGAGGATAGTCGCTTATGTATGACGTAGGTACTTCCGACGTCATAGGTAGCAACTCAAGTAGGTACTTTGCTAATGGGGAGCGCGGTCCAGGTGTGGTTCTGTAATGAGGGCGGTGGGGAGGGGCTAAGGACGGGGTACTGGGATGGGGTAGCCGGCCCCGCAAAAGGCCTGACACACTAGTCCGACTGCCAGCGCCCCTTCGCCAACCGCACACAGTTTGGAAGCCGATATGACGAACTGATACCGCCGGCCGGGCGACGCCACGCACACAAATGACGTCACGACAATCAGCTTTCCTGATAACGCCACACAGCGATCCCGCTGGTATTACAACGGACGGCTGTCCACTTGTCGGGGAAAAGAACTCTGCAGCAGAAATCAGAACTCTGCGTGTCGCCACGGGTGTATGTCGTGCACCCAGGCGTGCGAAGCCCGGCGACCGTGCGTCCGTTATCAGCAAGATTGGCACAAAGCTAGCGAGCACAAAAACGGCAAAAGCCGAGGACCCTGGAACGTTTTTGCCTCGCCATTTGCACGGCACGTAAGAGCGTTGCAAGGGCTGTGGTGAGACGGGGCATGCGCAGGTGGGCTGTGTACGTACAGTGGGTTTCAGGTCCCGTGAAACGCGCCGTGCAACCATGCGATGCAAGCGCAAGCGAATAACACCCTAAGAGCAAATGCATTATGCTAGGGCCACTCACCGCATACTGGAATCCGGAGTTGTATTCCAAATCATTGGCCCGTATCCGTCGTTCGGACTCTGAGAAAGTAACATTCGTCAGAAGGTGGCGCCTCTCTACGAGCGCTTCATCCGCGAGTCGAACGGCCAGGTATCGAACAGCGAGCTCTCAGGGCGAGGAGCGGTGTCCACGCCCAACACAGCGCTCCGTCCCGAGTCTAGACGGGCCTACCCAGTGGGCCACAGCGCCGGGCATGAGCTGGCCAGCGCCACTCAGCGGCTGACCGGTCGACGGCGGCTTCTGCCCGAGCCGGGCCGACGCTGCTCCGGCACCATCGAGGTCAGTCCGCAGCGAGTACCACAACGCTGGCGAGGTCAGCCTTCAGCGAGTACCACAGCGCCGGCGAGGTCAGTCCGCGGCGAGTACCACAGCGCCGGCCAGGTCAGTCCTCAGCGAGTACCAGAGCGCCGGCGACGTCAGTCCGCGGCGAGTACCAGAGCGCCGGCGACGTCAGTCCGCGGCGGGTATCACAGCGCCGGCGACGTCAGTCCGCGGCGGGTATCACAGCGCCGTCGTCGTTCGCCAACACGCCGTCGAGTTCAGTCGGCGGTCCGCTGTCGTGACCGGCCGTACCGTGCTGGCGACAGATGAGCGCGGCGCCAGCCGTGACGGCGCCCCGCTGACCTGACCAGCACGGTCACGCGAGCAGCGGCCGACGACGGCAGCGCCCGCCGGCCGCACGCGGCCCGAGCAGGCGCGGGGCGCGACCGTCGCCGTGCCGCCGCGGCGCCAAGCGACCTCCGTGAAGCCAAGGCTGAGGTGTCCGTCCGTTTAGCGGCAGACGTCAGGGCTCAATAGATCGATTGCGTAATCCCAGCTGATAGTTGTCACGAGATGTGCGGGAATCAATCGCCGATAACGGTGAAGCTGATGTCCTCGCGATGGTTCTTGTGAATCTGCGATCGTGTTTTTCCGCCTGGGCGCTGATTAGCGCTATCCTTGGCTAACGCAAACGAAACAACAGGTGTAGCCGGATTCTATCGCCAAGACCCTTCGGGAAGACCACCGTCAGCTGGCCATTTTCAAACTGTCAGTTTCGAGTATAATCATGGTAATCATGCTATCGTATACGCATGAACTAACAAAGTAGACGGCAAAATATCCAAGTCCATACTCATCACAGTTAAGAAGCCAACACCAGGTGCGTAATCTCACGTCTGAAGCTGCTGGAGTCCAAGTAGCTTCGATGACATCCTACATATAACGCTTATGATGAACTCGGTGAGTGCATGAACCATGCAAATAGCACAATAATAAATATGGCTTTAAAAAGGATAATACATACCCACCCAAACGTTTTGATTTGATGGATTTCAGGCATTACAGCGCGCTACGCGGTGCTGGTTGCGTGAGCCCTGACCCCACCAACAGATCGTGAAATTCCAGTGCAACGGCAGAATTGTGGCCATAATTTAACTAAGGTGCCGAAATCCTCGGCACCGCCCGCCCCCACCACTAAATCTCGTCTGACCTTGGGCGATCGCTGCCACCAGCCACAGGTCACCCCAGCCAGGGGAAAATGGCGGGCGCCGAAGCGACTTTGACTCATCCACCCCCACCATGGGTAGGACCGGGGGCAGGCGCTCACACTGATCGAGTTACGGGGGCAAACATATCTGTATTCATATGGCACCTTAAGATCAGGCAAGACTATCATTTTGAGACGCCACACCACTGACCTTGCGTCTCGAATCGTTCAGACATCTTATCTCGTATGTATGCTATGCAATCAGCGCGCTCGCGCGTGTGCACTTGTTGGAGCGAGCATCGTTTACTCAAAAAAGTGTCGAGGTCACGCAGTGAGAGGCAGCCGTAGGCGAAACCAGCAGCTACACCACCGGGTTGCACTCTCTGAACCCTCGCGCGATGTACGGGAAGCAATGCGACGCTGTCCTCGCTCGGTATCTTCGTTGTGCGAGTTTTGTTTCGTGCTCTTCCTTGCATTCTTCTACCATGTTACGTAACGTCTCCGCCTTGCATCTCGTCCTGCTGACGACGTTGTCATGCGACTTACGCTCAGGTTTGCACTGGCTGCAGGCTCCTCCAAGAGGATCTAACTTATGCAAGTCACTGGGGTCGAACCGGTCGGACCCCAGGCACGAGAGCGGTAGTTACGTTCGTGGCAGCATTCAACACAGCGTCTTGGCCTATCGGCCTTCTCTGCCCACTAACGCCCAGGTCACTGGTGTCCGTTACAACATGGCCTGACTGGAACCCTCTGAAGCCCGGCTCACTGGCGTCCGTTACAACATGGCCTGACTGGAATCCTCTGTAGCCCGGCCCGCTGGCGTCCGTTACAACAGGGCCTGACTGGAACCTTCTGTAGGCCGGCTCGCCGGCGTCCGTTAGAACATGGCCTGACTGGAACCTTCTGTAGCCCGGCTCGCTAGCGTCCGTTAGAACATGGCCTGACTGGAACCTTCTGTAGCCCAGCTCGCTAGAATCCGCTGCAGCATGGCGACTAGAACCTTCTGTATTTGGATATGATAGATGGTTGGTGTGCGAGGGCATGCACGCATGTATTGATTATACATGGAATGCATGGTACCTATACCTGCCTTGGGTGGCGCGGTCGCTGATTCAAGGACTGATGTACAAGAGCAGCAGCATGCCAAACTCTTGTCGCAGGACCGAGACGTGATCACTGCTTTGCGCGATAGTTAATGCTGCGAGGGCCATTGCGTTACGTTGACGGTGTCTGTGATCGGACCGTGCGGTTGAGCGGGGTCGCTGCTGCTGCCAGCGATGCATTGTTGTGCGTGGGGAGGAAGAAAACACATCGCTATTATGGGTGATATGGGTGAACTGGTTAACGCTGGGAACCGCATATACTTTGCATATTTTGGACATTTCAAACGTTCAGTCGTTGTGCGTTAGGTTGTCATCTAAATGAAGAAGCATGGACTTGACAAGACTACAGTTAGTATGTAGCAAGAACATTTGTAATGTCAAATGAAGAATTTCGAATCGTTTTACGTCTCGAAACTTATGCGAGCACAGTAGACTGCAACCCTGATCATAGCAACTTCCAACAAAAGCACGTATTTTATACAATCGTGCGTACGATGATAGCCGACGGCAGCTTGCGCTTACAAAGAGTTTAGATCGTCTATATGCAGATCATAGCTTGCACTTACAAAGAGTTCAGATCGTCTATATGCAGATCATAAAGCAAATGAGGAAAACCGAGCGTTGTTGGTGCAAACAAAGACAGAACAGAAACATGGAGCTCCATTCGTGTTTGCCCGTACTGGAGCGCCATGATGCACAAGCCTCCTTGCAGCGCTTACCATAGCCATCCATACCGCCACGCCGGCCGTTCTCGTCCCGTGACACTGATCTTGTCACGTGCTGCCTTCATCAAAAGCACATATGTCTAGACGATGCAATAATCCCCATCGGACACCTCTAACAACACTTACAAATGATATGCCGCATGGATGCAGCGACATTTACTGAAATGGCCATCAATGAATGATATATGCATGCGTCAATCCAGGCGCAAACAATGCATTTGTGGCGAATCCCGCACAACTTTTTCATGGATCCACAAGCTTATGGTTGTTATGTATATACAAGTTCACTTCTGCATGTTTTTCCACGCAACGCCGCAATGATGTTCCTCTTGTTTCTGACCGCATGTTAGTGCTGATGATTGAATGGCATACAAAATGACAAAAAAACGTTCCTTTTTTGAAGAGATCTTCATTTTTGCCGATCTCTTTCCTGGGCAAGACGCAAGCAAACAAGGTAATTCGGCTGCAACCAAGATGTTGCCAGTCCAAGAGATTGTTTGCCAGTGTTTTTGTATGATACCTTGCGCGTGCCCTTGCTGTATCCAGGTGTGTGACTCAACATACCGAAAATAGGGCATAAATGACCTGAAATTCACTATTTCCGTTAGTCTCTTGCCCGATCATGTTTGGCCTATAACACCACATTGTTCGTTAATCGGCATAGACTATGACACATGACCACACAACGGCGATCTGACCGTGCGACGGTGTGTCCGATGAGATGAAGAAACACGTCCGCCTATGGGACGACCGCACAAAGCCACAATATGGCGTCCAGACCCCACACAGCTCAAATGCGAGCTTTTCAAAATAGAGGGCCCTTTTCCGAAGCAGTCGTTCTGTTTATAGGGCAAAGACAGGGATGCCTTGTGATTTACAACATCGAGAATATCATAAGTTCAGAGCTCTTATGCTCAGTTACCGACCTTCCATAAACTAAGAAGTACTGGCTAAACGACTTTTAGCGCTCATGACCGGCTTGTGGCCACAAGTCCAGCTTGGAACGGCAACCACAGCCACATAGCCAAAGTTTTCTCTATGACGTCGTTTAGCTAGTGCCTACTAATATTGAAGGTCGATAACTCATCACGACATAATACCAACAATTCTGAACTCATAATACCAAAAAACCAGCAGCCGCGGGAGTTTCTTGCTTACAGCTGAAACTATTTAAGTTGCGGCAACATACCAAAATAGAAAAAAAAAATGCTAGAATGCGGCAGCCAGCAAGCTAGGCCTAACATAACTTACGCCTGCGGCAGACCGCCGGCGAAACAACTTGTGTCGGCAACTCGAGATAAACCACCGACGTAAATTTTCCGACGCTGCTCCGTTGAGGCCGTATAGCTGGCTGCCCGTAAAGATCCATGCCACAATCACAAAGGATGTGTAATTTTGTACGCGACTGCGGCCACCGGAGCCAGCTTTATGGCTCTACAAAGCACTCAATCAAAGCAGCGGGCACAGATGTTCTCCAGCTGCAAAGCTCGATACGGACGTGGCAGTGGGGCTGCACGCTGGCGGCGGCACCTGGTGCCATCCCTGGCGAGCCGCGGCAGCACCTGGTGCGGCTCCGAGAGAGCTGGGGCCGCGGTCCCGGCCCGCCGCCCGCCGCCGCCCTCCGCAGCAGCGGTCCTCGGGAGCCGGGGCGCAGGTCACCACCCACCATTGGCAGACACGGAGCGACAGAGGGGGCGTGTGGACTGCTGAGTGCAGTCAGACCT